TAGATTCATGCAAGGAAGTCAGGCTGTCTGTGGGGGTGGCGGCGGCCGGCGCTCCAAGGCGCTGAGGTGCGGCCGTGGCTTGGTCCCTGCCGCAGGGAGAGAAGGAGCGATGGTGCCCTGCTCCGGGGCTGAAGAGTGAGGTGGCCTGGCGTTATAGAAATAAAAAAATACTCATGAATTAAATGCCCCCACCTTGGCCAGCAGCAGCGGCGATACTAGGGCTATAATACAAGCTGGTAGTTGTGCCTGGGCTTGGGCTTCTGGAAGCTGGAGTTGGGAGGGCTGCTGGCACCGCTGCGCGGCGGTGTAACATCAGCGGGTGGCTTCCCGCATTCGTGGCAGCGGGTGTCAGCCTGCCTTCGTGGTGCGTGGCCTTGGGCCCTGGTTATGAAGGGTGGGAGCTGTGATGGGAATTGCTTTTAATCTTTGTAGGGCACTTGGTTTGCTTGCGGGGTTAGCAGTCTGCAAAGGGCCTGCTTGCACATCAGTGAGTAACTGGCATTTTCTACCAAAACATTCGTATGCCTCTCCTGTGGTGCTCCACTTTCTTCTTAAGCATAATGAGTGATAACATTTGTAACTACCTGTTTTGGTGTCGTCATGTTCCTCTTATGACCGAGTGTTTTCAGGCAACTGTAAGCTAGATCTCTTTAGCAGAACTAGTAGTGTGTTCAAGCTGTTGGCAATAAAGCCAAATGGATGCAAGAGGCGAGGGACAGAGTACTAGAATGGCTTTAAAATGGAAAACACAAAACGTAACAAGACTGATAGCCTATGTTAATGAAGAAAGCAACCTGCTTCCGAACTGGACCTGAAAGTCTTGTAATTAAAAACAAGTAGCTGCTCTCTGATTACCTTGAGCTTGGGTTAGTCTCTTGGGTGTCATTTGCTGTGGGTTGTATTGACGGCTTTAGGAGTTGCTTGAAAAGTATGTAATCCAGGGAACCATCAGAGTGTCTCTTGCTCTGTCATGTCTGCATTGTTTAAGCAGATGCTACTGATTTTCTGCCTTCACAGCTCAGGAGTTCCAAAACTTCAGTCACAGTGCAGGTTCTTCCTCTGCGCGTAGTCTCTTTCTATGCAGCAGGAGCTTTCATTTCTTCAATGAGTACCTGGGTTTTCACAGGTACCTGTAAGTGGTAATGTTTTGTTTCTTTCTCAAAGGTTTCTGCACTGGAGCATAAAGAACTTCAGTGTGCAAAAAGCACAGGGATAATTTGATGGTTGCTAAGATCTATGGCAGTCGGGCGGGGGGGGGGAGGGGAAGAAACCAGCATGAGGTCATTCTCTTCCTGACTTGCACTTGCTGATTTTGCAGGTAGCTAGCTGTGCAGTGTGCTGTGACTTGTTCCAGTCTGATTCCATAGGTGTTTCCTTTCAAGTGACAAATGACCACTATTAAATGGCTTCTGCAGTTTCTTGAAAACTTGAAGCATGAACTCTGAAGGTTCACTCGGGCTCTGGTTAGTCAGATAATCCTGTAACATGGATTACTACGTAGTCTAAATGGTGTCTCACATGTAGAAAAGGTGGGGAACCATTACCTCTGTGAGGTTGATTTGTATTTCTGATAAGAACAGCTACCAGCTCATACCGAAGGGTGTACTGGTTTTGGCTGGGATGGAGTAGGTTTTCTTTGTAGCTCTGTACAGTGCAAAGTTTTGGGTTTCTGGCAAAATCAGTGTTGATATCACACCCATGTTTTGGTTATTGCTGAAGAGTGTTTGCACAACCTCAAGGCCTGCTCTGTTTCTCACGCTGCCCTGCCAGCGAGTAGGGGTGACAAGAAGCTGGGAAGGGACACAGCTGGGACAGCTGACCCCAGCTGACCAGAGGGATACTCCAACCTATACGATGTAGTGCTTGGCAATAAAGCCTGAGGAAAGAAGGAGAAAGGGGGGAGACATTTGAAGTAACGGTTAGGTGTGATGTAGCCCTGCTTTCCTGGAAGTGGCTAAATATCTGGCTGCTGGTGGGAAGCAGTGCATGAATTCCTTCTTTTCCTTTGCTTGTGTGCACAGCTTTGCTTTACCTGCTAGACTGTCTTTATCTCAACCTATGACTTTGGTTGCTTTTCCCCTTCAGATTCCCTGCGCCATCCCACTGAACAAGTGAGAGAGCAGCTGCATGGGGCTCAGCTGCCAGGCAGGGTTAACCCACAACAGCGTCATGATGCTTTGTGGTACCACCCTGTTTTAGTGTATTACTGTTGTTTTAATTCCAAAGTTTCTTGGTTTTGACTAACCTGGGAAAGGTCCCATTCACTAACAAAATGTGGCTTTCTAGTAATTCCCTGAAAAGTTTTGTAATTACTGATACAATCACTGCTGAAATCAAACGGTGATGTGGGTCTTTAAATGACAATGTAAATAGCGTTGTTGCTAAAATACATGGTTGACGCTAACAGATCTTTTGGATGACAGGGTCTGTACACAATTAATAAAATTTTGGGAGGGTAATAACCATTACGTTTTGTGATTTGCCAAAATATCCATGTGAGGATGGATACAGTGCTTTGAGAAAGTGTCAGGCTGAGTTTTGGCAAGCAGTCTACAGCCTATAAAAGCTAAAAAGATAATAGTTAGTCGCTTAAATCTGCAGTCGGAAAATTTAACTTTCAAGGTTGCTAAAAGTTTGTGCACAATTATAAATATGCCTGGCTTGAAATGGTACTGGGCCTTTGGGACAATGAGACTTTTAGTCTTGTGCATAATTAATAAAATAGATTATTTCTTTTTCCTCAGCTGAAATATGTAGATTGCAGTTTAGGATGACATAATTTAAGGGCATAACTGTCTTTCCTCAAAGAGAGGCAGCTGATTTACAAAAAGGTGAAAAGTTTAAAATAGCAGTACATTCAGTAAAGAATGAAATCGAGGAACAGAAGGAACTCTCACACTACCGTCTTCCCAATTCAATGATTCTAAACACTTTAACCCTTGAAAATGATCTTAAAAGTAAGATAATTTCTCCTCAGAAAAACATTGCAGTGCATTTTTTAGCACACACGTGTCATGTGGTTTTGGTTTCCTGGTATACAATGACTGTTGGTTTTTAATTAGAAAAATATGTTGTTGTTTATAGCTGTCCAGCAACTGTTCTTGAATATAATTTTTTCAAAATTATTTTGCAGGTCTCTCTGTTTCCTCTGTAAGAAATGAGGATGAAAATGCTAAGCAGCAGTGTAAGCCAGCAGAAGTATTTCCATGTGAAAATCAGGATGGGAGTTCAAATCTGTCTCCGTTTAGGAGTAGAGGTATAGACACAACGAGGTCAAGAGATTCTTCCCCAGTGAAACTTGAAATAAAACTTGAAGAATCTGACGATGAATGTGATCTTGTGATTGATGTGCCACCAGAAGCTGTTAGTAAAAAGCCAAGAATAAGTAGGAACTGTAGGAACAGGCACAAAGAACTGGCTGCTGTAATATGTGCCGAAAAATTACATGATAGTGCTGTAGCAGACATCCCTGGGTGTACAGAAGAAAAATCAGAGAAACTTATTACTTTGTGGAAAAATGGCAAAGATTTAAATAAATCTGAAAAACTGGGCAATTTTTCCCCAAAAGCAAATGAGATTTATTTGCCTGATGTAAGCACTGGTGCATTGAAGGTTTTGAAGGGAAGACACGCCCTTGCTTATACTGAGGAGAAACATGTATCTTCAGCTGCTTCTGTCAAGGCAGACATGCGGAAGGGCATTCTGAAGCAAGGGAAAGCAGAAAACAATCTATTGGTCAAATCAGTTGTTCGGAAGCATGCTGAAGACACTGTGAGGGGTGGAAGAGTGACACAGTCTGCCTTGCGTGCTGGTCACTCGTCGAAAGATGAGACTGCAGTTGAAAGACGTTATAAGGGTATAATAAATTGGGAGGAAAGCCAGAGCATAGAAGAAAATGGGGGTAATGATAGCCCAGAAGATACATACCCATATCGAGCTGATTACCTAAACAAGAAAGAAAATGAAATAACTCTGCTGAGTTCATCTGCTGAGGAAGTGGAACCAAGTGGGGAGGACACAGAGCTCTCCGAATCAGATGATCCTTTAGAGGAGTGTCGGAGAATTTTTGAGGAGTTTGAAAGAGAATCACAAAAGGAGGACGGTGATCAGCAGGTATTTTGTTTTGCTTTCAGTGCTTGGGGTTTTTTTCTGAGCATATGAGGATGGGATGTGACACACAGTCAAGTTCAAATACTCTTTTGAGAATGTGTCCTAGTAAAGGTTAAATATTTGAGCCTTCAATGCTAGTTGACAAAGTAATAAGGAATACATGTGACTCTCTGCTCTAGTTTGACAATGCGTGATCTCTATGCTTCCGGAAGTAGAAAATTGGTCTGAATAGCTCCGTGCCTTAGGGTAGCCATTTTTATTTTCACTGTAATAGGCAGAGTTTTAGAGGCAGTTGTGTATTCAGTAGTCTCCCGTTCTCATAAACAAATGCAGGTACTTTGAGTGCCACTGCCTCAGGCTTCAAAGCACTGTGGCGTAACTGTTCTGAATGTAAAGTCAGTGTCTAATACTGATAGAATTGTAATTTTCCTGGTGAGTTTTTTGACTGAATATCGTGAAACATTGGAGTGAGTGGGTCATGAGGATACTACTGAATGCTAGAGCTTCATAGCAATTGGTCTAAATAGTCTGTTCTTGTTTTTTAATAGGCCTACGGAGGAAACGTAGATCTCAATTTATCAGAAACCAAAGTACATGTTTCTGGACCAAAGCGAAGAATTGCACACACCACAAAACTTGCAGTGAGTTATAATCCTGTAATAAACTGAAGGTCAACTTAGCTTTACTTAATATCTGTAGACTGATGTTGAACTTCAGGTGGGCTGAGTCTTGTAATCTGATTGTAAAAATATTTTGAAATGAGTTCAAACAAATGTGTCGTCAACTGTTCTGTTAAAAGTTGTGGCAAATATTGTAGTACCGGGGGTTGGTTCCCGACACAGGTGAAGTAAGCTGCTGTCCAGGGCAGCTGAGGCTAGTGAGTATTGAAAAGTCAGTTTGGAATGGAGGCCTTGTGCCGTGAGATTACAGATGCAGCACTTAGAAACCCGAAGTGGCTGTTGCTTTCTCTGCTGTTACAGTGCTTTGGGTGGCAATGTTAATAGCAGGCATAATTCTTCAAGTGCCCTCCACCACCCCTGAGCACTTTCAGCTTGGCGTTTTCCTTCCGGGGACAGCATGCTAAGCTCTGAATCTGATAGCAAAATTCTGCTTTTAGAAGCAGTGTGTCAACTTTAACCCCATTTTACTGTGATTTGGAACTGCTTGAATGTTAACTCTGGGTATGTGTGTGTGTGCATATCGGGTACATACCAAAAACGAAATGGTGCCTTTCAAAGCATCTCCTCTTTGGCAGCAGGGTCGTGATGCAGAAACTCAGCAGGCATACTGCAAGGCAATGGAGTTTGCAGCTGGAGTTAAAAGGGGAGAAGCTTTTATTGCTACAGCTTTTGAACAGAAGAAAACTGTGTCTGGATTGTCAGCTACTCAATTTCAAAGCATTGGACCAATGGGTATGGCAGCTTGGTCTGTATGTTTGACAAACTTAGCTTGGTTTTGCTTCAGTTAGGCATGGCTTGCAAGTGTTCCTTTTGCTGTGGTGAGTGTTAGCTGTGAGTTGGATGGTGAACACTTAGCTTGTGCAGATAAATGCCCTATCAAGCTACAAGGTTATATATGAAGCCTCGGTAGCTGTAATGGAAAGGGGACGAGTACTTTGTGATAAGTTTTTTGAACGTGTACAGTTTTGATCAAAATCCTGCAGACATTAGTTTTGTTGAAAGTCTTTTGATACGCGGGTTGAAAGATGTAAAAAAAGAAATCGAGCGAGTTTCCTTTCGCTACAGTTGTCAACTGTTAGGTTTCTAATCTGAAGCATTCAAACCTTCTGAAACAATTTGTTAAATTTTATTCGAAAATCATATATTCTTCTGCCCTTAAATTCTCCTTCATAAGTGAAAAATCCTGGAGTACAATTTATTTTCAGTATTTGATATTAGTTAAACAATGTTTCCCCTCCAGTCTTCTACTGTCACTTGAAATACATGCTTACACAGTAACCTACCTAGCAATTAAATTAATAAAGTACTGCTTCGTAGTTTCATTCATGTGTCTTTATTACACATGCTATAGAACATCTTCACATAAAATTGAGTCATTCTGCCCCTGTATGCATTCTTTCTGAAAAACAGTAAAATAGATTAGTGTATTTCATGGTGTTCAAATGTGTCTTGCTGTGTAAAAATAGGTGCTGATGCAGGTTAAGCAGGATGACTGCAAGCCAAATGCTGATACCTTGGCTCCAGAATCTCATGACAAATTTTTATGTCTGAGATCTGTAGCTTTCCTGACTTTAAAGAGGCAAAGCAATACTTCAGGGCACTCACTGATAGCATTGGAAGATAAAGTTAGAATGGTGGGTTTCCTGATTTTTTTTTTTCTTCTTGCTATCATACTTTTTTTGCATGGGAGGGCAAAGGGACAGGAAGGCAGGCAAGTAGGTGTTTAAAAATCATAGTCATTACAACTTGAAAATAGCTTTTAATTTGACTTGTGTAGCTGTTTTATTCTGTCTTCAAACTGATAAATGATCTCAAAACTAGCGGAGAACACTTTGCATAAAATCTGTCTACAGAAGTGAAGTCTTTCCTGAATGAATGTGTTTCCTGACGTTCTGAGTTTGCTTCTGTGCATTAGTTTGCTTTTATCCTGCTTTGACAAAGGAGGTGTGAAATACCTGTGTTCCAGATTAACATGATTAAATAATAAAGCTTACAATTAGAGTTTAGATTCAGCCTGTGTCTTTTCTGTGTTTCAGCCTCTGTAAGTTTGCTTGAAGTTCAGCGCACTGAAACCAGCTGTGGTCAACTGCTTATAGTAAAGGAAGGAAATGTTTTAACAGCAGTGCCCTGTGGAGTTTCTGTTGATTCATTCAAAAGGACTAATCTTGTGCCACCCAAGGTATTGTGGAGTTACTGCTGCAGAACTCAGATATGTGAATGGGAATAGAAGTAGAAAAACTGCAGTTAATTTCAAACAGTATTTTGTAATGTAGACCCAGTAATGTGGTATACTAGTATAGCTTTCAAAAAAAAATACTCTTTCCTCTGTGCTTTAATCAAGTTGATATGCAAATTGAATTTTCATTTTCCTTGGTTGTACTAGCCAGCACTACACAAATGTTAGCAATTTAATAGATAAATTGTTAATCAAAGTGGTTGTTACGGCAGAATTAAGTACTGGTTTGTTTTCAGTCAAGTCATGCTTGGGTGTTGGTTATTTTTGCTTAAAACTTCCTGCCATGTATAGTGGCAGATGATATCTGAGGAAAGGCTTTATTTGACTTCAAGAGAGGTATTTTTATAAACTAGAGCTCTTTCAAGGAACTTGCCAGAAAGTTCATGCAGGCATATTTTGGTTTTTTAGTGCTAACTTTGCTTGTAATTTTGAGTGGCAGAGTATCATAAGGTTCTCTTCTCAGAAAGATTACTCTAACCTTGCTTTTGTTTGTTTGTTGTTTTTTTTTAAAGCAGAGGTCACTGAAGATTCCTGGGGTCAGATAAATTACAAAATCAGATTTTTGCTTTCTATTTAAAAATGTCAAATGTTATGGCTTCTGTCAGTTTGGTTATTGACACATTTCTGGGATATTAAGTACGGTTTACTTCGTGCTTCATATCTCCAGTATGTGGCTTCTTGTTTCCTAAATAGAATACTGCATGCCCCAATAATGATGAGCCTGGGTTGTGAGAATGACACACATTGCTTTTGTTCCCTTTGTGCAAAAAATACCTTCTCCTTGGTAGCAGCACAGACATTTAAATGCTGCTCTTAAAGAATCTTCATTAGCAAATAAATGTGGTACAGACATATTAGAATCATAGAATGCTTTGGGTTGGAAGTGACCTTTAGAGGTCATCTAGTCCAAATGCCCTGTAGTGAGCAGGGACATCTTCAACCAGATCAGGTTGCTCAGAGCCCCGTCCAACCTGGCCTTGAATGTTTCCAGAGACGGGGCCTCCACTGCCTCTCTGGATAATCTATTCCAGTGTTTCGCCAACCTGATGGTAACAAATTTCTTCCTTGTATCCTTCTCTTCTCCAGTCTGAACAGCCCCAACTCTCGCCTTTCCTCACAGGAGAGGTGCTCCAGCCCTCGGATCATCTTTGTGGCCTCCTCTGGACCTGTTCCAACAGCTCCGTGTCCTTCCTGTGATGAGAGCTCCAGAGCTGGATGCAGGACTCACGGTGGGGTCTCACCATAGTGTGGACTAGGGGGGCAGAATCCCCTCTCTGGACCTGCTGGCCATCCTTCTCATCCAGGATGCAGTCCAGGATGCAGGTGGCCTTCTGGGCTGCCGAGTGCACATTGTCAGCTCACGTCAAGCTTTTCATCCACCATTACCCCCAAGTCCTTCTCGGCAGGGGGGTTTGTAGTAACTTCATACCCGGTTGCCCTGACCCAGATGGAGGACCTTGTACTTAGCCTTGTTGAACCTCGTGAGGTTCACATGGGTACATTTCTGCAGCTTGTCTAGGTCCCTCTGGATGGCATCCTATCCTTGTGGCGTGTCAGCTGCACCACTCGGCTTGGTGTCGTCTGCAAACTTGCTGAAGGTGCACGTGATCTCGCTTTCTAAGTCACTGATGAAAATGTTAAACAGTACCGGTCCCAGTAGGAACCCCTGGGGGACACCACATGTCATTGGTGTTCATTTGGATGTTGAGCCATTGACCACTACCCTCTGGCTGCGACCATCCAACCAATTCCTTAGCCACCGAAGAGTCCACCCATCATATCCATATTTCTCCAGTTTAGAGAGAAGGATGTTGTGAGGGACTGTGTCAAAGGCTTTACAGAAGTCCAGATAGGTCACATCCATAGCTCTTCACCTGTCTCCTGGTGTAGTCATGCCATCATAGAAGGCCCACTAGGTTGGTCAGGCAGGACTTGCCCTTGGTGAAGCCATAATGGCTGTCTCAAATCACCTCCCTGTCCTCTGTGTGCCTTGGCATAGCTTCTGGGAGGATAAGTTCCATGATCTTCCCAGGCACAGAGGTGAGGCTGAGAGGTCAGTAGTTCCCAGGGTCGTCCTTCCTACCCTTTTCAAAAATGGGCACAACGTTTCCCTTCTTCCAGTCGCCAGGAACTTTACCTGACTGCCATGACCTTTAAGTATCATGGAGAGTGGCTGGGCAGTGGTATATTACTCCTTGTTTGATACACACAATCTTTGTAGCTGTTTGGACCTTTTTTGGGTCTGACTGTACTGTGCTTAACTGAACTTACTGCCAGATTTTTGAATGTGATGATTTTAGCTTCTGTGCCCTGTGTTAAAATAAGCATATTGTTATAAGCAAAACCACTACATTGCATTGTCTAACAAAGGCTATAGGTTCCTAAAAATAAGCTTTTTTTTTTTCAGTCTAGTAATTGGGTCTTTAGTTTACATTCTGGGTGAAGTACTGCCTGAAATAAAGGTCTGATGGAGAGCATGTCTTAAATTCACTGCTAGTGCTTGCTGAAGGATTCAACTTTCTCAGAAAAAAGAATTTTAAAAAGTTTTAATACCTTGCATAACCTTGAGCAGAAGATTATTTTGTTTAGTTCAAGCAGGGAAAACCTCTGTAGCTGCTATTTCTGATGGCTGTTTCTGGCTCCCTGTGATGTGCAACTTCAGTTTTCTGAATAGCTATTCAGCAATGTTTTGGGGGATTTTTTTGTTTAGTTGTTTGTTTTTTCTCCTCCTCTGAGGATGGGAAAAAGAATGTCTGAGCTGTTTTTTATTTCTTTTTTCTTTAGGTTTCTATTCAGATAAGGCCTTCGATTCCAGAATCAGGATCCAAAGTCCCACTTGAGACACGAAACCGATATGTCGGGGTTTTTTTTGCAGAATGCCTCAAAATTTGTAGCACAATGAATGAAGCTATTGACAAGGTTTGTTATGTTCTGTAGATCTTTACAATTCCACTTCTGATTTAAGTCAGTAGGTCTTACCTTGCACAATCTATTGGTGGGGTTTTTTCCTTGATTTTTTTTTTTTTGAAGGCAAATATTTCAGACTTTTCAGTAAGCAGAAGTTAAAATATACTTGATCTGATACTTGCCAGCATTATCAATCAGTTTCAGTTTTCTCCAGGTAAAAACATTTGTCTTTAGTACTGCTAATTAGCTTCCAAAAGGACATGTTATTTTAGTATTAAAAAAGAAAAGTTTTTCTTTTGCAAATGCAAAATAAAAATCTTCTTGTGAATACTGGAGGCTTCCTGGAATGTAATAATGACTTTGAGATCTGTTCAGGACAGGAGGAAAACGTGTTTGAAGAACAGCCATAAATCTCTCAATCATTTTGAGCCTTTGATCTTGTATTTACTGTTAATAGCATACCAAGTGCTACTCAAGCTTATAGCAAACAGATACGGTCTGGCAGGCACAAATATCCTGAGCTTAGCCTTTAGGTGATTTAAATTTCTTCCATGCTGAAAATCAATATACTTTATGGAGGTGTACTGGTAAGACTCTGTATGTGTGTTGAATGAAAGCTTGTAAAACATCAGACGTTACTACTTTGCTGTTTACAGTGTGTTCTCTGTATTATGCAGCATACCTTGGTATGCCTGACTTCTCATTCTCACTAAGTAATGTTTCTTTTACATTCTCTCTAACTTCCTCCTGTGTTATTTCTCAGCTTCATCAGTTCTCCACTTTCTTTTTTCCTCTGCTTAGAGGTTGTAACTTGTGAATTGCACTTGCTGTGGTGATTATTAGAAGGCACTGTTAGTGCCTGAAATGAGCTTTTGTTGGCAGTGCAGGTAGTGTAAACAGTGAAATAAAACCAGGGAAGAAGTATTTTTCTTCCCCCAGAAGACTAATTAATGTAATTCTATATTTCATGTGTGGTTCTTCATAGTTAAAAGATGCTAGACCTTCCTTTCACTTCTGTTTTTTACAACTTTACAGAAGGAAAATTAAGGAAGTAGTTCTTGACCTAAAAAAGTAATAATGCCTCCCTTGCAGCAGGATCAGAAAAAGCTGTCTGTATCCATAGGAATGGTTGCCCTAAGCGTGTTCAAGTTCCCACAAAGGATTAGATTTAAATTCTGAGTTGGAGCATGGATTTCCCCCACAGATCTTTCCTTCATAAATACTGGTTTTGTCATTCTAGGTGTCTTGTCTGACTTCATGTCTCCTGTTGCAATTCAGGTTTAGGACTCTACTTGCATGTGTATCTACCTCTAGGTTCAAAATCTCAGATTCTAAATGGCAGTGCTTTTTGTAGAACGTACAGTACTCCACTAACACTTGTCTCTTTTTTCTTTCTTTTTTTTTAATATAGGCCATGACAGAAGAGCAATCTATTTATGATCGTTGTGGCAGTAAAAAAATGTACCTGAATTTTGCTGTGAAGACTCTCAAAAAGCTAAGAGATCATGGTAGTTTTGCTTTTAATTAAGATTTTTTTACAATTGGTTGTAAATGTAGAAATTAGAACAGCAGAGACATGTCTTTAAAAGATTTAGTTTAGTAAAGATACTTATGCATGTTTAAATCCTTTTGTAGAAATATATAGCTGAAATAAATTGGTGTTTTGATTTACAAATATTTGCCAAGGCTATTAACAGGAAACCCAGAATTGAGGAGAAATGCTAAAAATATGTTTTCCTCCATTCAGGACGACTTTATGACAGCAGATCTTCTAGTGGTGCTGGATCCGTAGATTCAGAGCAAGAGCAAGGTAAAGAAAGGGGAAGGGCGATGTCAGTTCTCCACTTTCGCCTGTAAATGGGCTTATTTAGCATGAATGTGTTGCTCTGTTTTTGGTCAAGCTTTATCATCTGTTAACCACTGCAAGGGTTTCAAACACAATTCCCTATTTGTATCTAAAGGCTTATTCTTAGGGGAAAAATGTTGAGACTTTGCTTGGAAGGAGCGTATTCTTTAATATTGCATGCCAAGCCTTTCTGGGATAGCTAGTGAATTAACATCCCTGTTGCTTAGTGTCTTTGTTTTGAATAATGCTTCACCTCTAATCACTTCTAATTCCTCTGAGGTACAAGCATATAGTTTTTGCATATAAACTATAGTGCGCATCTTGTAATTTCAGTTTTTTTTATATTGGAAGTACTAGGATATAACAAGTGCTACTTATATTTGTTCTAATATTGCTTAAGCTTTGGGCTTGTTTAATTGTAGATTTTTAGTTGTGGGGTGTTTTTTTAGCATTTACAGGTGGTGTTCTATATGAACTTTTAAAAGATTATCTGCTGACTGAGGAACAGCTGAATGAAAATAACTTCCCTCGACCAAATCCTGGAAAAAATGGTAGCGCTATACTTACTGGGGTTGTAAAAAGTGCTGGGTATGATGGTAAGTGCCTACTAGACTGCAACAAAACTGACTTTCAGTCAGTAGTTCACAGTACAGTAAAATACATGGATATAACATTGTACGGTATGGTAGTGTTCTGTATGTAGTGCGTGGACTACAAGTGAATTCACAAGCTTTCGTAACTAAACCATGAAGCTTTGTAGGTCTTCTTTAACTTCTGTTTCAACATAGTAATTGAAGTTGCAGGTAAACTTGACTTTCTTATCATGCTATAGAGGAACTTTTTTTTATATATGTCTAATCTTCAGAGGCTGCTTATGTATTGGTACGCTGCTCTTGCAATTACTGTTCATGTGACTTTGTTTTATGCTTCAATTCAGCATTTTTTTAACTTTATGGCAAGCCAGCTAGGAAATACTCTCTGTTACCCTTTTTTTAGCTTTCAAAAGAATGTGCTGTAGGTGTGGCGGAGTATATGCTGTTACTTCTTCAGGAGAACATAGACGTAAAGAAGAATGCAACTATCATTCTGGTAGAGTACTGGAACAAAAAGGTAGATATCCTTGGCATTCAGTCTGTGTGAAGTGGTTAAAAGTTATAATATCTCATGTCAAAACTGAACAAGATCAGGGCATGAAACTGTTTTGCACAAGGTTCAGCTGAGATACATTCTGCCGTACTTTTGACAGTGTGGCAAGTTAGCAAAGCATGTTTTCTCTGAATGTGCCATAACTTTAGGAAAGCTGATGTTAAGAAAACCATATGGAAGAAGGTTGGAAAATGTTCATTGTGTGGCCTTGCACTAACTTCTAAGTGAACCTTGTCATCTGTTCTGAGAGACAACTTAAGTACTCAGAAGCTACATTAAATATTTCCCACAGGGACAACCTTCTAGAGCAGGCTAAAACTTTCCCATTCATTGTTTTTTTTTTTTTTTTTTTTTTAATAAAACATTGTCGTAGGAGGAAGCGATGTACAGTTTGTCATCTTAGCATAGATGAGACCTGTAGGTGGGTCTTGCTTCTTTCCATAGCACAGTCTCAGAAGGAAATGGAAGAGAAATTTGAGCGGAAGAGCAAGGCTACTGATTTGGTTTTGCCATTGATAGTTGTGGCAAGACCTGCTCAAGTTTCAGCTTTTCTTTTTGGCAGTTCCTGGTGGCATGGAAAAACGCTATAGTTGTTGTGAGAGAATAGTTGGATCTGCTGGATGTCAGATTGCAAAGGTAGGAGTAATGTTCTCAGAAGGCTTATATAATGCAGTATCTCCTTTTTGCTTTCTGTGTCCTTTTGACTTAAAGCTGAGTCACAGCTTTCTGTGAGCAGTTTGGTGTAGGCCTTTTAGGCATACTTACTAGTGTTTAGTAAATTATGTGGCAAATATTCACAAGAAGTGTATATATATACTCCTGACTCCCTTAGAGAAACAAATTGTCTGTCAGTTTGGGTAAGATATATCTAGCAAACTTGCACTTAAATACTAATGGAAATTTGCAGCTTCATGTTCATGATGGAAGAAGGGAGAAATTGGAAGGCTTCACGAAGACATTAACTAAATCACCGCCTTTTGATGGAAACTGTGGTGTATATGCTCTGGACTGCGAAACGGTATGAGCCACCTAAAAAGTTTGGTTCAGTTAATAGAAAACTATGTTACTGTATACGAAGCAATTTCCTAGCTGTAGTAGTATGGAACTCCTGTCTCCAAGAGGTCTGCAGAACTCTGACTAGGGAACTCCTGTCTCCAAGAGGTCTGCAGAACTCTGACTAGGGAAGTCTGTGTTACTAGACCTTTAGTGTCGAATATGCAGTGAGCAAAATTGTTTTGATCTGTTGAGCTGGTGGCTAGTTCTGCTTTTTGTACAACTTATGTAATGTGAGGAAACATCACTGCTGTGTAAATGCTTGTTGAATTTGCTTTTTTCTTCAGTGTTACACAACCCATGGCTTGGAACTGACTAGAGTGACAGTGGTTGATGCTAAGCTGCAGGTTGTCTATGATACATTTGTTAAACCAGATGGTAAAGTTGTAGACTACGATATAAGGTATGCTAATTAGTCTACAATACTTCAGGATTAGACTTAATAAATTGGCAGATAACTATATAAGAAGGAACATACCTCTCTTAAATGTCTGTTTCTAGTAACGTAAGTCAAACACCTTCAATCAGGAATGAGGCTTTTGTTCTTAAAGCTCAGTTGAGAAGGATTTTTTTCTTTGCCTAGTTCAATTAATTTTTTTCCACATTTGAAGACTTTTTCTCCACTTCCTTAAAAAAAAACCCCAATCAAGTTAAACCTCCCAGAACTTGCTAAATTCCCTAAGGGGATAGAAGAAAATGCAAATTTCATCTATAAATGTTGTCTCACAGAAAAGCAGTATAGTCGTAATCCATTGAGGCCATCAGACTGTACGGTTTCTCAAGATTGGGCTGTGTTTAGTGCAAATTACTTGTAATCAACTGCTCTGAGAAGAAACACAGGTTTTGAGCCTCACTGTAAAAAAAGTTGGAGGGCAGCTAACATAGTGTTCCTACTTCTTCAACAGCAATATGTGTTTGCTCAGAGCGCTGTCTTAGGTCCATGCTTAAACACTTAGTCACTTGTAGTGGTAGAGCTAAGTTAATGTAATTTAGCTTAGTTTATCTTACACTACCTAGGTGAAGAGAGTGAAAAAAATGCCTTAAGTTGACTTCAGCATTATGTGATTTCAAAGCTGGCTGGTGTTAACTTGAGATGCTGGGGGAATGACCACTAAAAACCTAGTTCTTCTAGATATTTCTTAGTATGTTTGTTAATGAAGCTCTTCTAAATCTGTCTTTAGACTGTCTGGAGCTACAGAAGATGATCTGAAGAATACCACAACATCTCTTCGAGATGTACAGGCAATACTGCTAAATTTGTTCAGTGCAAGTACAATTTTAATTGGACACAGCTTAGAAAAGCACTTATTTGTTCTCAAGGTAAAATACGCTGTTTGAAGCCAATTTTAAGAGATGACTACTTGTCTTTACTATGTTCTAATTAATTTCAAAAAGGAAAAGAAAGTTGCATTTCAGCAGATGAACATGTGTGGAAAAAAAGAATGACGTACTTGATTGTTAAATGATAGCTGTATTCAGCTACATTCAGAGAAAGAAGAGCTGTATATACAAACACAGTATGGTAAAGATTCTGATATCTGGGCTTCCTACTTTGTTGTTTGTGCTTCTAGCTATGCAACCATATATCACCACTGAATTATATTGTCTTTATTTTTGGGTTCACAGAAACCTAGAATTGTATGTTTTCTGATCTTGCTGAACTCATGCTAGCAAATGCATAAAAGACAGTGACAATTCAAGTAATAGTAAGGTGTTGCTCTTAAAATCTCTTTAAACAGCTATGCTGCCTATCAGGCAATTGCCTCAGGTACCAGAAATGCATGAATTATGCTATTAAATATCAAAAGCAGCAATATTCTATAAGAAAAATAACTGTCTGCTTAGGAAGGCTCAGGGAGATCTGTCAAGCTATATAAGTAACTGGAGAGAGGGTAAGAACAGGACTGAGCAGGCTTTTTCCAGTGGTGCCTGGTGCCAGGACAAGAGGCAGTGGGCACAAGACAGAAACACAGGAGGTTCTCTCTGAACATGAGGAAACACTTTTTCACTTTGAGGGTGACCAGGCACAAGCACAGGTTGTCTGGAGAGGCAGTGGAGCCTTCTGCCTTGCAGGTGCTCAAAAGCCACCGAGACATGTTTCTGGGCAACTGGCTCTAGGTGGCACTGCTTGAGCAGAGGGTTTGGACAAGATGGCTTCCAGAGGTCCCTTCCAACCTCAGCCATTTTGTGATTATTACTAATGAAGGAATGAGAATTTAGCCTTGATAGGCTTCCCTGCTAGTGATATCTAAAGGCTAAAGCAAATGAGACTTTGCAGTATGGTACTGGCTATCTAAAACCAGAATTAATCATATTCACTGTGTATGTACAACTAGTGAATAAATGTCAATGCAGTGTACAGAAATCACTGCGAAGCATAATTTTCCCACAGTTTGCCATTCTATGATGAATAGAGGAACACAAGGCAGACAACATAATATTTTGGGGCTCAAGCATTAATTTGGGCATATTATTGAGAAAGGAAATTGTTTAGATGCTAGAGGGGGTTTCTTTTTAATAAGTAAAAGGAGGTGCAAGATTATAACTGCATGCGTAATCATTACTGTGGCCTCTGCTCTTTTCCAGCTAATTCATGACACAGTAGTGGACACATCAGTAGTGTTTCCTCATTGGCAAGGTTTCCCTCACAAAAGAGCACTTAGAAGTCTGATGGCTGACTACCTCAGGAGAATTCATCAAGATGATGGTAAGAGCGCAGGTTTTTAAGTAATCCATGTACTGTATCGTGAAACGGGAGACGGGAATAATTCAGAAAACTGAAGAGGTAGTAATACACTTGCTGACACTTAAAGCTTTGTCTTGCTTAGTTTTACTTCAATAGTATAGTAAAGGCAGAGCGTATACCTGAAGGGTAAGATGGGTGGTGTTGTGGCTTATCCTCAACGGCAACTGAGCACCACACAATCACTCACTCATCCCCAATAGTACAGATGGCTTGTTAAAGTGTTCACCATACAAAATGTGTTCCAGTTTCTTTCCACTGTATAAGAAGCATTCTTAAAATTCTAAAGGTAGTGTGATGAGGCTAACATCTATTTCAAGATTCGCTTACTTATCCGAGATGATACAGGAGCTTTTCAGCTGGGGTTTTCAGTAGTAAAATTATAGTAACTTTCTTGGCCGTCTGTCAAAAACAAATCAATAAATCTGTTCTACAGTGTGCATATAATAATTACGAAACATTGCATTTGACAGACTTATTTTTGCATTGACCATGCCATTCCAAATAATTGTTTTTAATCTGATTTTAGAACAAATTCAGTATCTAATAAACTGGCATCTTCATATTTGCTTTTATCAGTGAAGCCTTCTAGACAACAAATAATATTCTATTCTGCTAACATACATTCATTGCCCAGGGAATAAATAAATGGTTGCACTGACAGAACTTGATGGCCTTTGATACTCAGTGGAGTAGCTGGATGCTGCATCTCAAAGCTTGTAGTATACTCTGATTTCCTTTGCTCTGACAGTCTGACGCACAGCACTGTGGTGGTGGGGTGAGGGGGATGTCACAAGTTATTTGTACAGACTTTAAGATGGCTGTCTCAAATAGCCAAAACTGCTTTTAGCAGACTCTCCTGCTTAAGTTTGTGTTTAACCATTCTTTGTTGATCACCACTGAGCTAAAATCCAAGCTTAACCTATACAGCTATATAGCTGCCATTTCTAGAAAAAAATGAAACAAATCCCGATGCATGACTTCCACTTGCTATGTTTATATTGATTCGTGCTGCTGCTTTGCGCTAGTTTGTGTTAGTTTTGTGCTAGTGCAAGAGAGGAGTAATAAACTTCAAGTCTGGATTTGCTCTTTGTAAACCTACAGATTAGTAGAACGAAACACTCTTTGCTGTCAGAAAGTAGTAAGTCTGTGGTGATTTAACTTGTGCTGAATGTAATTGACTATCTGCTTTTTTTTTTTTTGACTGTCTCAAACTGGAGTTTGATTAGCAGTGCATTTTAAGGGGTCTTAACTCCAGGATTTTTGGTGTCCAAGGTACAAGAGCTGCAACTGCTGAGGTAGCTTGACTTACAGTACATCATATACTTGATTTGACTGAAAAATTTAAGAATCCATAACAGAGCTAGAAGACTATGGTTTCAATAATTGAGCCTTTTCAGACTACTTGATGAACATGTCTGATACAGGTTGTACTTTCCCGAGCAGTTAAAAATAGCAACAGCCGAAGGGTGGAATGGCAAGGCAGAGCACTTCTTTGCAGATTGGAAAGCAAATGAGGATTGGACCTGTCTCTGACAAAACAGAGAAGAACAGCGAGGGCAGAGGGGAAGCTCACAGGATCACCTCTGTTTTTCTTACCCAAATTACAAAATAGTTTCTGTTTGATTATTGGCAACTGTTCTGCTTTATTTCTTAAGGTACATTTAGGAGGGGAGAAGACTAGAACCTTCAATGTTATTACCAGCTGCTGTGTGATTCTTTGAATAGTAGAGGTTACTAAGTGGTGTAAACTTCCCTGCCACAGATAAAAGCTATGATTCTCCTCCGCTAGCTTCCACAGCTCTTTATATGTCTGATTGAAATAGATATTGCAGGGGTAGTTCTTACAAAATATGCTGGTGAAAGCATTCATGTAACACATTAATACTGTTGCAGAGGATTACTATGACTGTGTAAAATACATGTTTAATGAGAGAGGAGTAAAACCACTTCCACACTCAAGGAGATACTGCACTGTTTTAAGCCAGTAGATATCTGAGTTGCAGCTACATGTCTGTAAGTGTCTGAAGATCTTTGCTTCTGAGCCTAGGCCGCTACATATGAAAAATTATCTGAAAGCACTGACATTTAAATTTTACAAGAGAAGGCTAGAAGCTTGTACTATCTTTTGTTGTGATAGCTTTTAAGTCCTCTGCTCCTTTTGGGAACAGAACATCTCAATGAAATCTAAGAAAATTGTCTCCCTCATATCAACTTACTTTATTGTGGTGTTCTCCCCTGCCCAAAGCAGATGTGGAATCTGTGCAGTAAGGCAGTAGTGCAAAGAAGCAATCCTGTTTCTTTTTGAGCCACCAGCTCAGAAACATAGAATGAGGAGGGGATTTTGCCACCTTGAGATGAAATTGTTGAACTACATGCTGTCAGATTTTTCTTCCACAACTTCTTTGGTTTCTGGATAACCAGACCCTGTCCCAAACCTGTTTGTCTGAGATCTTCTGCACCTTTATTAAAACTTCTGCACTCAAAATGGTATCTTCGTTTAACAGCTTAAACCATACAGGAATTGATCTCCCTTGATCAGTTCATACAGGATTTCTGAGGGACTTGTATTCAAATTAGTCAATGTGACAATTTGACACTGTCAGATTTCTGTTTATGAAGATGATGGCTGAATATAGTAGGTCTATTCGCTACCTATGCTAAAGTTTCTAGGAGAGCCCGAACATGCATCTTTGACTTTCAGTAAGGAGCACTCAGACCTGTCAGTAGTTAACTACCATTATCATAGCAGCCAGCATTTTGTTGTGTTGACTCTGTTTGGAACGATGTTCTGATGCCTACATCAAATGCCAACTAATGAGAGGATTGTATGCATTTCTTGTTTGGATGACTACCATTGTTTTCCAGCCAGAATGCATTAAACCCTTTCTACTCTACTTTTTGTTGTTATGGGAATTGCATAAAACATATAAACTTGTAAGTTGTTGGCTTTTTAAGCTTTGACTAAACATGTCATAAAAATGTATGACTGTATCTATTTTACATCCTTTAATTCCATTCTGTTCAGATTTTGTGGAGCATTTCAGTAGATCGGGACAAGTAGATTGTCCTTAATTAACTAAGGCAGAAATTTACCGCCTGCTTGTGAAATCAACTTGTTATCTGTTACTCTCTCAACTTCTAATTTGAAAGTACAGGACTTGGAAAGGCTGGTTTTCCAAAGACAGTTATGTTGGATACTCTAGGTTACTAATCCAGGCTCCGCTGGATGTTGAAGCTGGGGTATGCAGTGGGAAACTGAATATTGCCAGACAGTACTGGACTGCTAGAAGCATGTGGCTATTATCTTGAATCCTGGTAGCAAGAAGGTGCACCAAAAACTGTCTGAATGCCAAATATTGTCTTAATATTCTTGATAGTTGTTCAGCTTAATAAATAAAGCCTCTGTTCTTTTATAAAGAAATACATAATCTAACACTTCAAATGTTTTTTTGTTCTCCTCTAGTTGGTGGTCATAATTCCAGGGAAGATGCAACTGCTTGTATGGAACTAATCCTTTGGAAGGTCAAGGAGGACAATAAAAGAAGAAAATGGTGATTGTTATGGCTTTGAAGGAACAAGATGGGAGGGGAAAATCACTTTGGCTCGCTGTTCTCTAATGCTTCAGTACCAATTACTTTTCTGATGCAAAAATGATGACAATGGGAAAATCTAGTGGGAAGACTTGACTATATCCACTTCTGAAGCTGAAGATGTACAGGAAGGAGAAAACACAAATGTACAAAATACAAGTAAGATGTGCAGAGTAAATTCCTGTGTTAAACAGCAAACCCACTTGTTTTTTGTTCTGTTAAGAGTATTATTTCTGTAATCATCCTTAGTGCTCTGTGTAGCTGAAAATTGTAATTTGCAGTAAGTGAAAGTACTGATTGTTTAAAGTTCTGTATATAAATTGATTTCATCTTGTTCAGCCTCTGTGGAATAAAATTTAAGCTTCTGTTGTGTGATTAAAGTTTAAGATTATTGTTGTCTTTTTCCCTTTCCCTTCCTGCTTCTCTCTACCTCTACGTGCACTTTCAGAGAGCAAGAAAACAGACTTAGTTGTGTTTAATGTACTAATTGACACAAAAAGACATAATGGTAGAAATGTGACCTCTTCTGGAGCACAATAAGCTGGTCTCTTTTAAATAAGTTGAGCCTGTAGGAAGATTTTTCAACTGTAAAAGCAATAAGCTTTTCTGACTTATAAGGGTTCCCAAAAAGCAGAGTATTTCAAGAAGTAAATGTGTTCACTGCTTCAACTAAAACTGGACTACACTCCAAGATATAATTCCCTATCTCCTGCTTAACATAGAATTGAGCATCTGCTGCCTTCAGGGAGGAGGAATTTGAAGTCTGTTGCCACTTATTTTTGTGTGGAGGAAACAAAGAAATGAGAATGTAAGAAGGGACCACACTTTTTGTACAACCCGAGCTCTGAGCTGAAGTTATGCTTTGTGCTGATTCATCGAAGAAAGCGGAGAGTGATGGGGGAGAATGGTCTTGACTGAGGACCCTAGGAGAGAAGACCAGTAGTGTAAAAAAGTGCTCACAGACTTTTCCTGAAGAACAAGTACACTACATAACTCTGTATTGAAGGTTAAAAATCACTATAACAGCTTCCTATGCATTAAAGTACTTGGGGCATGTGTTCTGTTCTGTGAGATACTGACAGGCGATAGCTGTGGGTAGAAATAGCATTGCGTGTTTATTGTCCTGTGTCTGCTGCTCATAATGTCAAAAAAAAAAAGCTTCTGATTTTCCTTCACCTCTTTTTTTCTTTATTAACAGAACAGTCCCGTATACAAGCCCTACTGCAGCTTAGAGAAGGGGTTTTGGCATGTTCTGTATGAAGTGGATAGACTTAGTCATGGATCCTCCCAGCTTTGAAAGTAAACCTTTTTTGTGAAGATTGTCTTTATTATTTGAGTATACTATTGAGTAAACATGAAGAAACAGTTTACTCTGTAGAACCTGTTCTACGTAGCAGAGAAACTCATGTTAGTCATTCAACCACCTGTTAGCAGCAACCAAGCTGGTAATTCTGAGGCCCTAAGGACCCTCCATCATCTGACTTTTCATCATAACTTCTTCTTGTAGTTGACTATTGAATTATTAAAACCAAATGGATATAATACTGTGCACAATAAGTAAAATATTTTTAGATACTAACATTTTTGTAAAAATAGCAAAATAAAACAGTCTTCTGATGCTGGAAGTAATGAGATTTACCAAAACTGAAAGGTGGTGTGAATATAGGTGCAGTTAATGATTGGAATAGTGACTTAACTCTGAGTCACATCTCTGTCATCTCTCTGCTGCTGCCTGCCGTTAAGTACACTTTTGTCTTTCCCACATGTATTGATGATATAGGCTTGGCTGCTGCACAACCTGACCAGCATCTTCAGGAGCTGGAAGCTCAGTTCGTGTTTTGGAGATGTGAGAGACTGGTGTGGTCCAATAGGGCCTCCACAGTTTTCAGAGGGACTTGCTGAAACTACCAGCTCCTGTTGTGGGAGTACCACCACCTGTGTCGTGTATTATGCTATTAAGTGAATACGTGATGAAAGAGCTCTGAAGTATTATAAGGAAACATTACACAAGGGGTGCTTGATTTGAGGATTTTGACTTACAGCCTGCAACAGTATGGCTTGCTGATTAGTGCTCCCTTGCTCATGGGAATGGCTGATCAGCGTGTGACTTGGGGAAAAGCAGAACAGTGTGTTGGGAGCAGGGAATGTCCTGTACCAGCACAGGGAGGGAATTAGCAGCAAGAGGGAAAACTTGTGTTTGATCACAGCTGAACTATGCCCTTGTAATTTAATTGCTCATGCTCTTTGGCTGGGCCTCGGCTTATTTTCTGCAATTCCCTTCCCCCACCATGCAGAGTTCACAGAATCGTGGTGTAGCAACTGAGAGGCGACTTCCATATGGCTTACTTCCTTCTATCAGGTATTTATACACTTTGATGAGATGTATGTAGCAGTAAATGCTCTGTCTTTTAGTTTCAGCAAATGCCTGATCGTTATATTTTGGATAGTAGAAAGAGGCTGTGTTTGACTTTAAAGTTGTGTCAGGCATAGTCTGTCCACAGAGGAGTAAGAATTAAATACTCCCATTGTTTAAGACCAGATGTGTGCTTCCTTTTGGGTTACTGAGGAGTGGGAGAACTGCAGCTGTTGAGTGGATTAGCTGTATTCAGACATTTCCAGGGGTAGTTATACCGTACTTTTCAGCCAGTCTAATGAGGATAAAGGTGCCTATTTAGAGTTCTTGTTACCTCTCCCCTCACGATAGTATCTAGTGAACCTTGCATTACAGTAGCTAGTGATGTCTGTTCTCAGATAAGTTCTTAGCTTTCCTGCCAAGTACACTATATTCTTCTGCAGCTCGTGAGTTTTGCTTGGACATATTAAGGATTTTTGGTTTTTGTCTGCACTCAGACTGTTGAACAACCAGAGCTGCTGCACTGAATGGAAGTTGAGGATGGTGAGGGAGAAGGTTTGGGGAAGAAGTTGTGTGGAGGCTTTGCTTCTGCCTTTTTGTTCTTAAAGGCTCCACTTTCCCTGACCAGCTTCCTGGTAATATCTTTTTAAACTATAGATAATGCTTGACTGTAAGCAGTTATCTGCCATTCTGTGTCACATACACCTCAAAGCATGTCCACAGCTCCACTTGTCTGAAGGGCTTCTTTTCTTTCCCATCCAAAAATTTGTACTAAGTACGAGCTTGATAATGGTATGTGAGAGAAGATGAGAAAACTGATGCTATGATATCAGAAAACAACATAGGGAATAACTGATGATAGTCTAAGCTTGTGCATAGAGGTCGGCGATTGTAAATAGGTGGAGGTGTGTAAAGAATGTTAGGACGTGGGGTATTTGGAATAACGGAAAACTGTTGGCACTTGGTAGCATTGTGCTCTTGACAGCCAAGAAATGGAAGACACTTGGGAAGGAGGGGACATGGGATCTGAAGTGATGTGCTGTGGAAGGCAGAACATACAGCCTGCTGATGGTTAAAAACTTTTCTATGCCAGCTACTGCCCTAGATTGGGCTTTTCCAGCACTGGATAACAGACAGTAAAATCTAATTATTGAACCTGGGGTACCCAGCAATTATTCTTTGGTCCAGTGAATCTGTGTGCTCTTTGTAAACTCCGATTGCCTGTCTCAAGGCCACACAAGTAACCTCAGCATCCTTGTTTGTTGACTTGCTCCATTTTAAGAAGGGTCTTGGTGCTTTTCCTATTTGAGTCAGCATGGTGTATGCCAGTAATGTTACTCTGTACTCTACTGTGATATCCCTGCCTTGTAACTGGCCAAATACACACCCACAAAATACCAGAAGGGAAAACCTTTTTTTTGTTTTTCTCTCTCTCTAACATCTTCCTCTAAGTCTGGGAGGGTAGCATGATCCACCCAGCTAGCAAATCTCTGTGGTCTGGTGCTCAGTTATGAGCTGGTGAGTCACAAGGGAGGTTAGGGGAACCTATGTGCGAAGCATGAGGTTAGTTGATACATGAAGTCTGAATAGGGTAAGTCCGCAGGATCCCACGTGGTTGACTTGATACCAGAAGCTTAGGCCAACCCTGCCTCTATCTGTCTAACCTAATAGCTAGGAGATCTTTCTGGTAGGCCAAATATCATTTCTTTGAAGCATTTCAGTACAGTATTTTTAAGAGGCCATAACACAATATAGACTGCATAAGGGATAAAATAAGCAAAAGTATGTAGGCCCTGCTTGTATATAGTAGGTAGTAATTTATAATTATGCAGTGAAATTATTAAATGAAATACAAATTGAATAAGCCTCATGTATATCCAGGCTAATTGTAAAAACGTGTTTTACAATATGTAGTATGTTTGTCAGTCCTATGCTTCGTGATAATTGCTGTATGGCTGCCTCCGATAGCATTAAACACTTCAAAATATATGCATATTTTGCATATAGGCAAACACTGGCTGTTAAACTGGACAATGAAAGAGCAATAGCACACCTTGTGTCTTACTAGTGTCAATATAATTTTTGAACAGATTATTTCTACTAGCTCACTTTTACATTCAAATACTAGTCTTACTTAATAATTAATTGTCCTTGGTGAGCATACTGGATTGACATCTGCTTGTGACTCCCATTGTCACATTGAGCTTAGCATTTTTCTTTGAATCGCAATGAAATGTCTTTGAAATACTGCTAGAAGATACTGACTTTGCTATCAGTAGCTCTCAGAAAGTATAGAAAATATCTAAGATGGCAATATCTAATGCATTACAATAATTGTATGTATACACTATATCTACATGACTGGGAAACAAGAAAACGCTGCATATGAAACAGCAGATTTCAGTCTATTCCTACTCTGAACAGTATATACATTTCTACAGCCTGTGGAGACAGAGGTTACTGTATGATATACACATACATATATGTAGTAAAACAGTATTACTGTATTATATACAGTTATAGCTATACACAGTTCTACACAGCACATCACATTTTGGGCTCCAGCAGACTGGGTTTTGGGTTTCTTCAGTACATCATTGATGAATGAAGTT